TTCTCCTTTTGCAGCTGGTAAAGGATTCTGGTCAGAGATGTTGGGAGTTGGAGACTTCTACTATGAGCTGGGTGTGCAGATCGTTGAGGTTTGCTTGGCTCTGAAACACAGGAATGGAGGTGAGGATCCCACCGTGCCTGGTTTCTAGGAGATAAAGCTCCTCCTTTTCCCTCTGGGAAGAGACTTGTGTGGCTCAGTGTCGTGTTCCTCACTAGATTTCACAAAATCAATCAACTCTGCCTCGTTTAGGTAACAAAACTGTAACTTGGAGTATTGTGGGGAAGGAGCAGGGATCAGGGACAATCTTGGAGCACAAAACCCCCAAGTTCCTCCTTCGAGCCAGAGTAAGATTGGCTCTGGAGGATCACAGCAGTATCCTGAGGAGCTGGAATACCAGTGCTAAGTGCCTAATGAAAAGACAGATGCTCTTCAGTCCAAAAGGGCAATCTGAGACCAGGAATGGGCTACAGCCCAGCCAGCTGAGACTCCAGTGTGATGCATTTGTGGGGGAGGGCAACAGCTGAGGGCTGCACGTTCCTTCTGGGAGCAGGAGTGACTGAGAGGCTCCTCTCACCCAAGGCTGGATCCTGGGAACAAGGAACAGCCCCTTGGAGAATGGGAGGGAGGGGCAGCCCCAGCAGCAAATGCACAAAGGAGCCTTCACTGCTGTCTCTGCAGTTGTTTGCTCTGCAGTAACACTTTCCTGTCCCCTTCTGTTGCCTCCTAGGCCTGATAACACTGGAGGAACTTCATCAGCAAGTGCTGAAGGGAAGGGGGAAGTTTGCTCAGGATGTCAGCCAGTGAGTGTCTGTACGTTACAGGGATGGGAATTGAGGGGAGTTTGGGGAAGAAAAGGGGGTGACTGATCTCAACTGGACTCCAATTTAACTTGTAGTGATGGGGCCACTTGTGTACGATCCACAATTAATGACTTAACCCTCTCAGAAAGCAGCAGTGAGCTTTCTCTGGAGCCCCTAAGGCATAAAGGAGACAGTCCCCTGGAAATCCAGCTCTCCTACTGCCACGGTCTGCTGAAGTTGCTGTGGTCTCCTGAGCTGTGAGGGAGGGACCTACACGTGTCATTACAGAAGCAGATTTTAAGACACAACCCACCACGATCACTAATTGGGGCTGAATCTTAAAAAGTGTAGCCCTTGCAGCTCAAGTGCACCTCTGACACAAGTCTGCACAGACACACAAACTCATTTAAATTGCTTTATAAGCATTATTTTGAGTTGGGTGATGACCTGAAGCTGCAGCAGGCTCCAAGGAGCTGATTTTGCTGATAGCTCCTGCACCTCAAGTCTTCTTCATTCACAGGAGGTAGCGTGCAGCTTGAGAGAGGCTCTGACTTTAAAGCCTTGCCCTGACCTCTGCTCCGCAGGGACGATCTTCTTCGTGCAATCAAGAAGCTGAAGGTTTTGGGGAATGGCTTTGGGATCATCCCAGTTGGAGGAACGTACCTGATCCAGTCGGTCCCAGCTGAGCTGAACATGGATCACACAGTTGTCCTGCAGCTGGCAGAGGTATGGAGCCAGGAGGTTTGAAAACACAACCCCCTTGAAAGCACCTCTTTGTTTCCATGACAGGGAGCTGGGATTAGACCAGAGCCACGAGCAAAACCATCCACACTCTTCTAACCCACAGACTTAAGCCTTGACTGAAGCAGGTGGTGTTTTTCCCCTCTCATTTCAGAAAAAGGGCTACGTAACAGTCAGCGAGATCAGGTCCAGCCTCAAGTGGGAGACAGAACGTGCAAAGCAAGTGCTGGTGAGTGTGAAGGTCTCTTGTGCACAGCAGAGTTCAGTGACAGGGTCAAGTGACTGCTCCTGCAGCAGACGCTTTGCTGGGGCTGTGTGATCAGGGCACGTGCTGGGGATCCTGCACTGGCTGGTGGATCAAAGGCAGGGTGAATGTAGATCTAGGAATGGAGAAGCTGCAGATAGTCCTGTGGCTTTGCCAAGCTCTGTTAGAACTCCAATCTTGTCAGACATGACCAGGCAGGGTGGGCATGGCTGGTTGTCTGAACTGTATTTCTCAAAGTCAAGTAAAAATGATTGTAACCCAAGTGTTACAGCAGCCCCCTTAGCCTAGAATAAACGTGGGGTGAATGTTGTGTTCTGTTGTGAGTGGCTTCTCAGCCACCTCAGTTAAGTTTCACTCACAGTTTCCACTCGAAATGTGCAGGAACACTTGCTGAAGGAAGGAATGGCCTGGCTGGATACACAGGCAGCAGGAGAACCTCAGTACTGGCTGCCTGCTCTCTTTACAGAGCTGTACTCTCAGGAAATCTCTCCAGAGGAAGTCAAGGAGGCAATACCTTGACTGCTACGTGCTCTGTGCCTGTATATAATCCTCCTCGTGAGGTTATTTGCATATCACCTGAAACACAGGGACAGTGGACTTGAAATAAAAGTTTTATAAAAAGCCTCAAGCTTGAAAAGTTTAACAGGACTAATTCTTACTTCCTTATCTTTGAATTTTCTCCTCTGTTGGGGGTGGAAACGCCACTTAACCATTACAGACAACTAATTACTTTGTCACAGCAAGAGGAAAATTAGCTAAGCTGCTCTGGAAACCATTCTCAGTGGGTGCAAGGGTGACCCTGGCTAAAGAATCCCAGAGCCACCAGGAAACTGCTCCGTGGTCCCCTCTGCTCTGGGAATGAAATGTTGTTCCACTAAGGACTCCCAACAGTCTAGATTCTGCCAAAACAAACTTTATTGCACAAAAAAAAAAAAAGAAAAAGAAAGAAATCTTATGTACAATAGTATATAAACAAGGTATCTTAGAGTGACTCTTGTGCATATATTTTTTCAACTCAAATTAGGTCTAAAAATCTGTCGCTAAAACATCTCTGCCTAGAGCAGTCATTTGAGGATTGTCACTTTGAAATGGAAACATTCAGAAATGGTTGGACAGATGACATCAGAGAGCTAGAAAACTAATACTTCTCTTTTACAGCCACATGCTAGTTAGGTGAAGAGTGTCCACAATAAGGCATTTTCTTGTCTCGTCGTTATCGGTGGATGGCAACGCCACATGCATCACACAAACAGGTTTCAGAACCAGCTCTGCCTTGGGAAGGCAGCTGAAGTCACAGCTCTACCCACAACGCTACTGAAGGGTGACAAACAACGTGACATTTACAATGGGAGGCAGGAGGCAGCTCACAGCTCACACAGCTCACAGCTCCTCCAGAGACCTCGCTGCCTCCCCGAGGCCTCACTTCCAGGTGTATGTGTTGAGCAAGTCCTAAGTTCAGTTTTCCCTCAAGGGAAGACAGGATTTAAGTCTAAATCAAGCCAATGACAGACCCAGGGCAGTTTGTTTGCTAACTAGAAATAAAAAATCAGGTTTCCAAGTTGTTTGTGACACCTTCATTCAGAAATGTTTCCACTTTTCAGCTTCTCAGAGCTGCTTAAGCAGCAGTGTGCAGAATTCTGAGTTTGAGAGTTAACAGAAGCTGAAAATCACTGAGATCTCTCTAGATAAGAGTGATAGAGACTGGAAATAATCCCGTGACGTGTGGGGCACTGCCTGGCCCAGCAGCACAGCCAGGAGCTCTCTGCCCTGCTCCCTGAACAAAGCTGATGCTGTTGGAAGTTCTCCCACCACCACCAGGAGTCTGAAACGGGGCCCAGCTGGTGGGAAGGTGTTTGAAGGAAGCTGGGAGAGGGCCTGGGATAATGTGCAACTTTGTGCTCAGCTTTTTATCAAAGCTCCCATTAAAAAAAAAAAAAAATAGAAAAAGTAGATTAATCTCTTTATCAACAAAACTTTATACTGCTCCAATCGATCCTCCCCAGGCTCGGGTACCTGGAGGAGTTGGGGTGTTTCTCCTCCACCCAAGGTACAGCAAATCCATCGTTGCTGTGGTGGCCCTGGCAGCCAGCAGACACCTCTTGGAGAGGACAGGCTGTGCTCACCACAAAAAGCTGCTGTTCAAAACCAGCTGGAGCTCTGAAGTGTTCAACTTGACGCCGCTCTGGTTAGCTTGTGCTCAGCTAAGTTTGGCAAAGGGATTTGTCAGCATACACCTCTGGAGAATTCCACCCAAAACCAGGGGCTCCCTTAGCTGGAACTGCCCCTTATTCTAGTGTTGCAATCTGGTGGATCAAGGTGGCAGCGAGGAACGAGGTGACAGGAGGAAAGAGGGAGGAAAATAAACTTACACTGAGGAGAGAGGTGGAAAGCAAGGAGTATTTCAGTGAAGGAAACAAAACAGCTCTGTCCAGAGCAGCCAGAATAAAGTATGTCTAGAATGCTAAATTCAAATCAACACCTTAAAAAAAAAGATAATACACAAAGTAGATTTATTTTTAAGTGCTCTCCCCGTCTCCAACCGAAAATTTTCTCACCCTCCCTTCCCCAAAACACCAGGATGAACACACCCTGCACTCAGTTCAGGGATTTTCTTGCAGTTTCCACTTTTCATCCACCCCTTTGCACCTGAAATCTCAGTGGATCGAGTCAGCCAGGGCTCGAGTAAAGCTTTCAGAAAGGAGCCCAGATTCCACCACTGCTCTTTTATCTTTGGTCTGTCTAGAAGAAAGACACCAGGCAGATGGGCACCACCGAGCAGAGAGGCTCCACCTCTCCCAACCCACACAAAAAAAAGGTCTCTGGGCCCTGTCATAGCCTGGACTCCTCAACCTGCTCCCCCAGCTCCAGCTCCATGGTCAGTGTGGCCCCAGGGAAGGGCTCACTGTCTAGGAACAGAAAAGCTGTGACGAGGGTTCGCAGTCTAGAGCTCATTCTTTAATGAAGTGGAGAGAAAAGGAGGAAAAAAAATAACCACCAAACCCAAAAAAAAACCAACCAGTGTAGGTGTTTCCAAAAAAAAAAAATAATATAACCTGATGCCACATGCTCTGGCTTCCTAGCAGAGTTAAGTACCTTTTAAGAGGAGCCTGTCACAAGCTTGGCTTTGTCTAGCATGAAGTCGTCTCGTTCAGCGCTATCCACCAGAGCAGCACAAGGAGACAGGAGAGAATCCCAGTTTACTCCACTCTGGCACTGGTTTTGGTTGTCGAGTCTGTCAGGGGGGGGGAAACTCTAGAGTGTGAAGATAGAAAATCCCCCACGGCTTGGCCTCGCCACTGTGAAGGCAACTCCTAAGCTTTAGAGCAACCTTGAGTGTCTGTCTCCGTCTCGGAGGAGCTGCTCTCAGAGTCTATTTCGGGGTTCTCCTGCTGGTGTTTCTCCTGCACCTTCTGCCGAATCCCCTGCAAACGCACCAAGAGGGACTGGTAGTCAAAGTGGCCTCGTTTTTCACCAAAAGGATCCTGCAAGAAAACCACAGAAAAAAATTGTTAATATAGACCGTCAGCCTTCCAGCAAGAGGAAGAGAATCACAGGACCATGAAGGGTGGAAAAGATCTCTAAGACCGTGGAGTGCCACCATCACCCAGCACTGCCATGACCATTCATCCCTGTCCCCAAGTGTCTGCGTGGTTTTTTGATCCCCTCCAGGGATGAGGACTCCATGGGCAGCCTGGGCCACTCCTCACCACTCTGCCAGGAGAGAAATTCTTCCTCATATCCAACCTAAACCTCCCCTGGGGCAACCTCAGCCCATTGCCTCTCAACCTGTCAGTGGTTCCTTGAGAGAAGAGATCAACCCCACCTCACTCCAGGCTCCTGTCCGGGAGTTGTAGAGAGCTCAGGTCCCCTCTGAGCCTCCTCTTCTCCAGACTAAACACCCCCAGGTCCCTCAGGCAAAGGCAGAAAGAAGAGCTGTGTAGAAATTGGCCAAAAAATGGTCCAAGACTTAAGGGTTAAATCCCATCTTATGATGGAGAGGGCCCTTAACCTCCCCCCACAGTGGCAAAGGTTGAAGACTGATCATCATTTGTGTTGGGAGTCTCTTTTGGGAAACCTTGCAAACCCAAACAAACTTCAAAACCAGATGAAAGGCCAAGCAGACGTGGGTTGGGTTTCTACTACAGCTTTGGGGAAGTAAATTATTTCAAGGATTTTGTCTCAGGATGATACCAGGGAGGCAGAGAAAACATTAGAAATGAAAGTCTCTAAAACCTAGAGGCCAAAGACTTGACCACAGTTGATATATTCATGCTGCAGACCCTGCCCAAACAAAACCATCACTACTCTCATTGTAAATCAAGGCCCACAGCTGAGATGCAACCAAGTCAGAGACACTCTCTGCTGCTCCAAGTCAGGCACAGACCCTCCTTAGGGGAATTCTTCACTCCAAACAAACTCTGCTGCTTTGGGAGTGCTTTCAATTTATGAATTACACAGCCAGTGACTGCACTGACAGGAAAAAAGGACTCAGAGGCACAAGATCATTAAATCAACCACCTCCATCTTTCCTTAGCAGTGGAATTTCTCAATGAGTCAGACAAGAGATGGCTGATGGGAGGAAGACACATCTGTTCATATGCAAATAGCTTGGTAATCTATTCTGTAAAGTCTGCTTTGCTGCAGAAACAAGCTCCTGGATTCAACCTGTCTAGATGTGTCTGCTCCTTGTCACCCTTCCTGCACCCCTTCCTCCCCCAGTTTCTTTTGACTCAGTCAGCCACTTCCTGCCACGTCTGACAGAACAAGGAGCATCAAAGTTCCTATTCTACAGGCAAAGGAACCTCAGGAACAGAGAAACTTTAGCAGTGACCCAATGGAGTTCAGCTGCCACCACCACTGGATAACCTGCACGTGCCCTCCCTGCTTCATGCCAAGTCCAGGTGGAGGCAAACTGTGCTGGTCCCACTGCTGAAGGAAGTATCTGCTTGCCTGGATTGTGTCTTAGGTCCAGCACTCTAAAATCTAACAGCCTTGAAAACACTCTGTGTGTCCTCTGAACGGGGGGAAGGCAGTTTTTTATCACTGGGAGGACTCAGGTCTCCATTTCATGATTCCAAGCTGGAACATTCTGTTCACAGAAAAGATCCAGATCCACCCCCACGTTCCTCTAGGTGCTGCCCATGGTTGTTTGGCACTAATCCTTATCTAAGGCAGTGTGTTATCTATGAGAAAACTGTCTGCCACTCACCTGCATTGTCTGTCCTTGGAGATAAAGCCTCTCTTTACACACCCCTTCATAGAAGTCATAGTATTCCATGAAGGATTTTTCCATGACGCCCCTGAATGCAAAGAATGAACAAAAAAAAATGAACAAAACCTGACAGTGTCACAACAGCCCCATCACACAGGCTCAGCCCAGCCCTCTGAACTCCAGTTCCCAGTCAGCTCAGCCACTGGTACAGCGAGGCAGGACATGGGGCAAAACCAAGTGCAGCATCAGTGCAGCTGAAGAGGTTCTGCACGTGCTTCCCCAGCAGCTGTGCTCCCTCCCTCTCCTCTGAGATGTGTTTTCCCCCTCCATAAGACAAGGCACTTTTATTCTCAAGCTCAAGGCAGAGGGTTAGGGCACAGCTTGACTCAGACTTCCCCTTCCTCAAAACAACTCTCAGGGTTTCCCAGAGAACTTCATCCTCCCCTCCCCACAGCCCCTTTTTTCTGCTCCCCCGTACCGCAGCGGCTCGGGGCAGGGACACTTTCCTTCCAGCATGTCACACACTGCCACTCGGATGGTCTCGTGTCGAATGCACTCGTTGTAGTTCTTGCTGTCCCCGGGGTGCCTCTCCTGGAAGCAGAATTTGGGCCAGTGAGTCCATGAGACTGTGACAGCTCTTTGCTTCTCCCTCCCGGGCCCGATGAGTTCCGCCGGCGCCTGAACCCGCCGTGGCTCTGCCTGTGCTGTGGACACTGAGCTAATTTATGCTGCCAATGAAAAGCTGGCAAGATTTCCCAGGTCTCCAGAGCCTCTGAGACAGGTCGAGGGATAGCACAGAAACCTGGAGACCACGAAAAGCTGGGCTGTTCAGTTCCTGTGGGAGAGGATGTCTCCAGGAAGCCATTTCGGGAGCTGTGCAGCAGAGCAGCAACCAGCCCACCCGCCTCCCTGGCCAGTTCTGGAATGCCTCGTGCTCCTCTGGTACCTTACACACACACCAGAGCCAGGCAGGCTCCAGTTCAGAGCTGTTTGGAACTCCCCCTCAAGCTCTGACTAGAGGCAGAGCATACTGGCCAAGAGCCAAGGGACATAACCTACTTTTGTCCCCATTTCCAGAAGGGGATTTGGCACCCGGAGGGAAGAGACAAAAAGCTCCAGAACCAGAGAGGATCCACCTCAAACTCTCACCTGCTCAAAGCCAGGTTCGTTGTGATAGGGGTTCTCAGTCATGAGGGACTGGATGGAGATGAGGACTGAAGAGATACTCTGTGCTGGGCTCCACGCAGGCCCGGTCCAAGTGCTGAGGCAGCAGAACAGAGAAAACATCAATTAACAAGGTGGGATGGGCTCAGGGAGCACCACCCTCCAGCCAGCAAAGAGCAGAAAGCTTGGCAAAGCACTCCAGTACCTCACAGGAACAGAAACCTCTGCTGCAGCTACAGAAAGCACTGGACACTGAGGAAGTTTCAGGGTCCAAGCAGCTCATTCTCTCAACTAAGCAAAAAGATGAGAGGCTGGGAAACCTCCCTCCACTGCTACCACACACCTGAGTTAAGGAAAAGCAATTTTGGGGGATTTTACCCTTTAAAGCTAAGGCACAGCAGCCTGGGGCAACACAAACTCCCAGCACTACCATAAAACAAACCCAACAACTCCTGAGAAGCAGAATCTGATTTTTCAAGGCTCCAACAAGACCACAGTGCACAGGGGCTGCCATCCAAAGCACCAGTGATGCCCTGCTCTGGGAAGGAGGTGCCTGTTCCACACACACACACAGGGCAGCAAACACCTTCCTGCAGAACCAGCAGAGGCAAAGAGCTGCCCTGCTGCTTGCCCTCAATATCCTAGTTCCAGATACAGCCCTGTCTCCCTGAGAGCTGAGCAAGGATGTGCTGACCCACATACACTCTTCCTAAAGCCTTCCTCTGGCAGCTCCCTCTGTGCCTCCCATCCCTGCTAAGGCTGAAGATCTTGGTTCTCTCTTCAATAATTGAAACTTCTATGGTAGGGTTACAACTGCACCAAGCAGCTTGTGTGGGAGCTGCTGGTCAGACCCCCCCCCAAGACACACCCAGGTCCTACACATCTCAGAGCTCTGCAGGGGTTGGCATCCAGCTCACTGGATGAGGAAGACTCCTGCACTGAGGAAGGTGTTTCCCAGCATCAGGCATCTCTCTGCCAGCCCTGGGCCCTGTTGTTGGTTGATCAAATCCCTCCAATGTCTCAAGCTGCCACCACTCCTTCCTCACCTGGCTGCCACTACAGGTCCTAACAGCCCAGTTGCACCAGTCAGAAGCTCAGCAGAAGCCTTTCTTCACTGTCAGCTGGAACTGCCTCACGTGGGGTGGGAATATCACACCACAGAGCTGTGAGAGTCCCAGAATCAGGAAGGGTGGAAAAGATCTCTAAGATCTTCACGTCCAACTGTCAACTCAGCACTACCATGACCCTTAAACCATGTCCCAAAGCACCACAACTACATGTTTTTTGAACCCCTCCAGGGCTGGGGACTCCCCCACCTCCCTGGGCAGCCTGGGCCAAGGCCTCACCACTCTGCCAGGAGGGAAATTCTCTCCTATCCAAACAAACCTCCCCTGGTGCAACTTCAGCCCATTGCCTCTCATCTTATCACTGGTTACTTGGGAGAAGAGATCAACCCCCACCTCACTCCAGCCTCCTTTCAGGGAGTTGTAGAGAGCCAGAAGGTTTCCCCTGAGCCTCCTCTTCTCCAGACTAAACCCCCCCAGGTCCCTCAACTGCTCCTCACAAGCCATGTTCCCCACTGCTCTTCTCTGGACCTGCTCCAACCCCTCAATGTCCTTCTTATCCTCATTGTGCCCAACATCACAGCTTTTAAAACACTTCCACATTTAGAAAACCTTTCAAATGTTGAGAATGAAGCAGGTGAAGAACATTTGCAGCTGTGGAGCCTGCCTGAACAGGCAGCACTGGAGCAGTGCTTGGAAATGACGACACCCACCACTCAGCCCCATGTACGACGTGTAGGTGGAAACCCAGAGCAGCCAAACAGCTCTCAAGGAAGTTCTCAGCAGCTTTTTCATTTTATTTATTTCTTTAACCCTCAGAGAGAGGAAATTAAAACCCACAACCCCCTCCATCCAGACCTCAAGGATCAGGCTGCAGAGCGCAGGAGCGGAAGGGACGCGGCGCTCGCTCGGAGGCTTTGCCAGGGGAAGTAGGAGAAAAGCAGCAGCACCCACTCAGCTTTCTGCTTCCCCTGCCCCTTTCCTGGGTGCTTTTCAAAGCCAGGTTAGCCTCACGATTTCGGGAGGGGAATCTGTGCTGCTTTCCCACCCTGATTCCACACGTGGAAGCGTAAAGGTGCATCCAAGCGCGCCCCGGGGGCAAGGTCAGGGCACGCAGCACTGAGAAGGATGCACAGGGCAGAACACAGCCCTCAGCCACCTCCTGGGGCAGAACAGAGCCCGCAGCCACCTCCTGGGGCAGAACACAGCCCACAGCCACCTCCTGACTTCCCAGCAAAACAGCCAAAGTCTCCTCTTACCCTAGAATACTCAGGCAGACTTTCCCATTGCGGTAGAAGTTGGGGTTAAACCTCACTGTGTTATTTCCCGTTGTCATCAGTTTGACCCTTGGTGGGTGGATGGGATAATCTGGAGGACAGCGAAACAGGAACAAGAAGAAACCCCCTTCATAAGGCGTGTCAAATGGGCCTGTGATCAATGCATGAATCTGGAAAACAAAAGCCCGTCTTGCGCACCACTTCAAAACCGCGCAGCGCCGTCGCCGTCCTCCACCAAAGGGCAAGAAAGCTCCACCTGGGCACCAGTGTGGAGGTGGCTTCTTGCCCGAGCCCGTGCTCAGGCCTCCCCCGACCCTCCCGTGGCTAGCAGAGCCAGCCCTGCACGCTCCTCTCCCCTCCAAAGTGGGGTTTTTGGCAGGAGGTTGGGCAGGAGGCAGCCGTCGCCAGCACGGCTCTGCGCGGTCCCAACCAGGCTGGTGAGCCAGGCTTCTGAAATAGGAGGGGGGGGTTTAAAGAGGAAGGGAGGAGGGGAAAATAGCTAATTTTAGAATGAAAATATAAATAAACCCCAGAATTTCTGCCAGAAGTAGAGCACTCCTCAGTTTTAGGGTCTCACGCTGATGGGGTGTTACTGAAAGCGATCGCTGTGTTTCCTCTGCCAGGATCTCAAATTAAGACCCTCTTCTCTCCCTGCTAATTACCCTCCAAGATCCCAACTGCATACCAGGAAATCTGCTCCCTTTGGGCTCTGAGGGAAGCCATCCAAGCAGGCTCCTTTAATGATCCTCTCACCTCCCCAGGATTTCAGGGAACTGCCCCAAGGCTGCTGTTCCACACACCCACGTTTCCCTGGAAGGACATTTTGGCTCTTGCAGCCACACAAATGCCCCGGGTGGGAGCTGCCTGGGCAGACCTTTCCCTTTGTGCCCCCTCCAAAACACCCCAGGGGCCCTCAATCAGGCAGGTGGTTACATGGGGAGAAATTTGGGGGATGCTACGTTTGTCAGGGGGTGGGTGGGAGAAGTGTGCAGCAGAGTTAAAACCAAAGTAACCCCCCCAAATATGCCCATGGGGGACACAGCACAACCAGCCCAGGTGCCACTGGCTGGGGAAAGGGCAGCACCAGCCAGGCAAAACTGTCTGAGCAACCTCCCAGCTCCCTGCCTCCTCTCTGACCATCAGAAATTCCCACTCCTGGAAAATCTGGAAGGGAAGAGCCAGGGCAGAGGAGGCCGTGGCCATGCCTGTGTCCCTGCATTTCATTTCCAGCCTCTCTGAGAAGCTCCCCATGGCCAACAGCTCTCCATGGAGCTCTTTCTTCTTTGAGCTGCTTTACTGATGGTTTCCAAGCATCAGGAGGGTGAAAAGAGCTGGATCAGCACCCCACTGGTTGACAAGGCCACTAAAGCAGAGCTGGTTTTTATCTGTGGGAGCTCCTAAATCTGATCCCTGTGCTGGCACCTCTCCACAGAGGCAGTTTCCTTGGGAGTTCCTCCCATTTTAAACACAGCCCATCTCAATGCCACCAAGAAAACCAGAGCCTCCTTGTGCTCTTGCAAAACTCCCCCTGACTTCTCCCAAAAATATTAGGGAATATTCCCCTTTGGGCAAACCCCATCAACAGCAACCCTCCAGAGAAGTGGAAAGTTGAACGAGCTCCAAAGCTCCTCTTACCTTGGTCATGTCGTGGGGATCAGGCACAACAAACATTCCCGGGGGCGGCTCCTTGTAAATGGACATGATATCCCTGAACAAAGGAAACAGGAATTAGCCAAGATCTCCCTTGGCGTTCATCAGCCCTCCAGTGAGGAATGTTCTAGAGGATAAATCTGCACACAGATGCAAAGGCACAGGCTTTTCAGATGGAAACTTCCAACTCCTCAAGAGCTAAGATGTTTTTCTTCCGGCTCGGGAGCGTTTGCTGGCTGAGCTCTTTCAGCTTAGCCCCCCCCAAAAAGAGTGGAGACATTTCAAGAGCACAGGCAGCCCTTGATGAATCCATGTGCCTGAGCACACCCTGACTACCTGCTGCCTCCTCTTCTCCCACAGATGAGCTCCAGCACGAAACCTCAACCACAACCTTCCCCCGAGGTAGCTGTTGAGAAGTCCTCTGGGACAAATTTTTGTTGCTTGAAGGTTGACTTTCCCTCCCCGTGCTTTCCTCCCTCACCTTCTGCCTGTTTACAGGCTCCCTTTGCTATAAGCAGTCGTTTGTTTTCCCCAAACATACCGTGACTCAACTGCCTCTGAGAGGGTTCCTGCTCTGACAAATTTGGGTTTAATCAGGCAGCAGGTTCAAGAGCAGTTCAGATGCACACATGACTTAATCACAACAGCCTCGTTTCCTTTAGGAGCATGGACCAAATGAACTGAAAAATAACAAATCACCTACAACTCCCTGGATAAACTGCATGGCCCCCCCTTAGCTTTCCTCACCAAAATACCCCCCTCCCATAAGCAGAGCTGTGTGGAGGTCCAAGACAAGCTCCCACTTGATCTTCCCCTTTGGGAAACGACTGGAATTTGGGGAGGTTTCAGGGTGAGAACAAGTGTGAGAGCCACAGGAGAGACTCGCCCTCCTGCCCGCTGCTGTGGAGTCAGGGCTTTTGGGGTGAGGGTTGGAAAGCACCCAAATAGTGGGGCCATCTTTGGAAGACATCAGACAAGCTCCAGAAGAAGGATGAGCAAAAGCCTGGCAGGCAGTGATCCTCACTCCAAAGGAAGAGGAAGGACTTGTTGAAACGGTGCCAGTCTATCTAACAGGAGCGTGTTGCTCCTTAGATCAAAGGCTACACAGCACCCCAGGTTTAACCTTTACAGAGTCAGAGCAGCCAAAAGGGTGGGGAGCAGCAGAATCACCTGAACTCAGCGTTGATGGAGGTGCCTGTTCCCCTCCTCCTTCCCCAGCACCTCCCAGCGATGCCAAGGGCAGGATTAGAGCCGTGCCCCAAGGAGCTCTGCTCCCAAACAGTGACAGCAGATGGAAAACGAGCCCCCGGAGGGTGGTACAGAGGTTCACAGCTCCAGGCTGGGCGAGGTGTGAGGCTCCATCTTCCCCCGGGGCACGGTGGGGACCAGAGTCTGTCCCCAGGAAAGCCCCAGGACGCGGGGAGGGACCGGGGCCTGTTCCTAAGCCCCGAGTCAGCTCTCCAGGACCACCGGTGAGGCCCAGGGGCCAGTTACCGCCTCGAGGGTATCGGGGACGAACCGAACGCCTCCGCCGCGTTACGAGTCTCGGCTCCGTGCCCGCTCCCCGCCCGGG